ATGACGACGCTCACGGACAGCAAGAACCTGGAGGAGACCGTGGAGAAGGACGCCGGAGTTGTCGCCGACAAGAGGCTACGCATTGTGGTAAGCATGCTTCGCGAGAGTTTTGGATTGCCTCATTCGGTTTTGCGGTGGATCCTCACACATACGATGGTGGCCGACGCTCTCACGAAAATCATGGAGGCTGGTATCCTTATGAGCTTCATGAGCGGCCGCGATTACAAGTTCACTGCGCCGACGCCGAGGGCCAAGAAACTCATCCATTTGCTCACGATGGTTTCTCTCTCTAAAGGCACCGCCAGATACGAGCATGTACCGACGTACGAGGTCAGTTGCACAGAGTTTGCCGTGGACACTTTTGGGTATTCCGAGCAGTGGGTATTTTCTTGGATGATGTGGCTTCGAGGTGCTGTGTGTGGTTTTACCTTGGCTGTGTTGATTATCATTTGGGTTTTCATGAATTTCAAGGGTGTGTTGACGATCACCCGGGACGAGGAGATTCACGTGCCAATTGATACCGAGATCGTGCCGGTGAAGCCGAAGGCCGGACCCAAGGGCGCGAAGGTGAGGGACGTGATGACCATGTCGCAGACGACCTATGTCAGGAGTCACAGGCACGTGGCGGTGAACAATTACGAGGGAGATGTATTCACTGGGACAATCTACACACGGAAGTGACGATATCGAGGACTACGGGCCCCCTTTCGAGCTCCCCGCTGAGCCCAAGGGGGCACTCCGCGTGAGGCTCGACCTGGTTTGAGGTCCGAGCCGGTGGTACTGCCGCGGCCGTCTGGGCCTGCGGGACTTGTCCGCCTCAGGGGCGGAGTGCAAAGATGACCTCTCCCTCCATCCTCGATCTCTTTCTCTTGAATTTACGATCGTTTTATGCTAGCAGGTTGTTTCACGAAAGAGTTGTTTCACGAAAGCCACTTGAGCAAGCCAGCAAAACCTGTTTAGAGCCCCGGGCCGATATATGACAGATGCACGTTCAGACCGTCAGCGACGGACCTATTCCTTTTAGATTTAAACAGCGTTTAGAGCAGCAGAAATGTACAGCGTACATTTGGAAGAGTGTGCGTGATCCAATGTGTAGCAGCAGTATTGTGCATGGTATGTGCTCTGTAATGTTTCGGCTTAGGCGCTTTGACCAGTTTTTAGCTACATATCAAAAGCATCGAGCGATATCAGCGATATCCGCCACGTCACCCACCACCGTCCGCACCACATCCCCCACTGTTGTTCCCAGCACCACTGTCCTCACCACCAGTCCCCACTGGCTCCACCACCGTCCCTACTGTCCACTCTCGCACTGTCCCCACTGTCCCCACCACTGTTCCCACCACGGTTCCACTCTCCCGACTTTCTCCACGGCCCCAACCACTGCCCGACTATCCCCACTGTCGCCACTGTCCCACTGACTCCTCCGCTGTCCCACTGAGCTGTCCCACTGTTCCCACCACTGTCCCCACTGTCCGCACCACTGTCCCCACTGTACCTCTGTCCCATTGTCCCACCGCCGTCCTCGCCACCGCCTTCACCACTGTCCCCACCACTGTACCCTCCACTGTCCCACCGTTTCCACCTCATTCCCACTGTCCCCACACCACTGTCCCCACCACCGGCGTCCCCACCACTGTCCACTGTCCCCACTGTTCCCACCATTGTCCTCACCACTGTCCCCACCACTACCGTCCCCACCACTGCCCCACCACCACTGTCCCACTGTCCATTCACCACTGTCCCCATCACCACCGTCCCCACCACTGTCCGCACCCCCCCCTCGGTTTTCGAAGGGGGGGGGCGTTCGAAGAACCGGTAGTGACCCCCCCTGGTTTTCGAGGGAAAGGGGGAGGGGGGTTCGAACCGGTAACGACCCCCCCCCTTTTCATGATGAACTGGGGGGGGGGAGGGGTTCGAACCGGTAGTGACCCCCCCCGGTTTTCCGGAGGGGGGGGGGGGGAGGGGTTCGCACCGGTAGTGACCCCCCCCCGTTTTCCGCCAGCAGCGGTAGAACACGCTCGTTCGTATCTCTTCATCCTCGGTTTCCTTCACCTCCTCCTCTTTTCTCCTCCTCCTCCTCCTCCTCCTCCTCCTCCTCCTCCTCTTCCTACGCCTCCCCCTCAATGACCCCATCAAAACATCCCTCCACATCCGCCCTCATCGACATGTGACATGTCTTCGTCGTCATCACCACCGTCAACGTCGCCATCATGTTGGATGTACTGACCAAGATCAAGGAGCCTTGTCACAATTACTGCCGTCACCACCCGCGTGATCGTCAGCGTAACCACCCCGCTGCTCATCAGCAGAAGCACGATCGCATTCATTATTATCGCCATTGTCATCATCAGTGCCATCATCATCAATAACATCATCATGACATGGTTTTCAACATCATCAGCGTCATTTACATCATTATCATAATCCTCATCCGCATCCTCACCCTCATCCCCATCCTCGGCATCATAATCCTCATCCTCCACATCATCATCCTCATCCCCACCCTCATCATCATCATCAACATCATCATCATGATCATCATCAGCATCGTCATCTTCATCATCATCACCAACCTCATCATCATCAAAATCATCATTAGTATCAGCCGTGTCCACCATCACCACCATCAGCGTCAATACCATCATCATCACCATCAACAGCATCATCATCATAATCGTCATCATCGTCAACATCATCATCCGTATCATCATTATCATCATTATCAGTGCCAGCATCATCATCATCATCATCATCATCATCATCATCAGCATCAGCATCATCATCATCATCACCACCACCACCACCATCATCATCATCATCATCATCATCATCATCATCATCATCATCATCGTAAGCATCGCTATCAATATCGAAATGATCGTCATCGAAATGCCACGCAGTATCGTCAGAATCACCACCAGAATCAACAGCAGCATCTACATCATCATCAGCAACAGCAGCATTACCCGCATCAACATCCGCATCATAATCCGCATCCTCCATGTCCGAATCGTAATCAGAATCATCACCATCACCGATATCATCAGTAACAGCAGCATCATCACCGTCATCATCACCATCATCATCACCATCGTCAGCAATACACATCAAGAGAAACCTGGTCACCACCATCCAAGTCAACATCGACAACATCCGCATCTGACGCCCATCAATCCTCCGAAGCCGCCTCCGACTCCACCTGATCCCCTGCGTCTTCGCGTCCACCTGCGTCTCCGCCTCACCCTCCCTCCCTCCCTGCGTGCCTGTCTCTCCGCGCATCCGTCCATCCACTCCCCCTGGCCCTCTGGTACATATTATTCTCTTATTGCGTTCATGCATCCCCCTTTACCCTACACCCCGTCCCCCCTCAACAATTAAACAATATGAATACTACTCCCACTCCTTCCCTGAGGCTGTGCAAATGATCCCGCAACCTCCGCGTGCTCTTTGTTTGCAACACCGGGTCTGACAAAAAAGGCTGTGTGCTTCCTCACGGTTTGGTACAATACGTTTGTTTTCGGTGTTTCAAAGTGGTGATCCCGTGCCACTGGTCTGGATCCGAATATAGCTTTATCGTTGTCGTCGCCCTCATTTCCCCTCCTCCGCCTTCCTCTGGTCCTCCTTGTCTTCCGTATCATTCAGCTGAACCTCCTGCTGCTACTGCTGCTGCTGCTGTCCGTCCTCATCCTGTTCCTCCCGCTTGTCCTCCTGCTCACCCGCCACCTCCTCCTCCTCCTCCTTTGCACGCAGCTCCCCTGTTTTTTTCCGATTGCGCATACCACAATATGATCTTTCTGTGTGAATCGCAGATTGGCTGTGATACGTGTCCGTGGAAAATGAAAAAAACAGCGCCATGCCAAGGCATGAGAGGGCGGGACAGAATGTCAGATGAGGCGCAAGCGCACCTAGCTTGCCTTTTCATCCTCTCCCCATTCCCCCTCCTCCGTTTCCTCCTCCAACTCATTACCCTCTCCCCCTCCTCCTCTCCGCCGCCCCCCCGCCCCCACCACCACATCCTCCTCCTCCTCCTCATCCTCTTCCTCCTCCTCCTCCTCCTCCTCCTCCTCCTCCTCCTCCTCCGCCTCCGCCTCCTCCTCCGCCTCCGCCTCCGCCTCCGCCTCCTCCTCCTCAACTCTCCTGTTACAAGGGGGGGGCGGGGAAGAGGGAGGTGGGGGGAGGGGAGGGGGGCAGGCAAAAGGAAAATGGGCGACGCAGGGTGAGGGGGAGGGGGCGGGGCATGGCGAGAAAGGAGGAAGGGAGGGGCCAAAGGAGAGGGAATGGGGGAAGGGAGGGGGGGGGGGCAGACGCTCGAGATCCGCCCGAAGCAGCGCACCACCAGAACGACATCAACAGCCTGAATTTAGGTTGGGCGTGTCCTCCTACAGGCGGGCTTTGGACGAACATTGAAAAAAACAAAACAAACTTACAACGTATCAAAAAGACTAAAACATCGGCTCCCGACTAGGTTCTGACAATATTTGAATAGTCCTCCTGTAGAGGGACACGCCCGACTTAGGCCTGAACTCACGCAGCCCGAGCCAGAAGAAAACGATACGGTCGAACACAAGCGGTCAGCAACCACCACTCTATGCCACAAAACCCTTGTGAGGATCCTTCTGGTGAGCTGCTGTCGGAGACCAACTCATGGTCTCTATATTTGCAAAGAAGTCCCCCGGGGGTTGGACTGAACCCTTGGAGAGTAAGGAAGAGGCTCCAAGAGGTCAAGAGCAGGCGGTCCGAGAACACCTATGCCCCGTGACTGCGTCTGGCGAAAGATCGACGCTGCGCTTTGTGGGGGACCTCCGCTGCCAACACATCCCGAACTGGCCAACCGATGAAAACATTAAGGAAGCAGCGTGCTCGATACGGCCTGGTACGTATCGTTTGGCAGCGATGGCGTGGGGAGAACATGCCATGACCCTCTTGCCTGCGACCGCAAACTGCAAGGAAATGGGCAAGACGACTCCGTGTGCACGGGAATCCCCCCCTATGCGCACCATGCTCGCGCCCACCTCCTCCAGCGTCTCCACGACGCTCACCGCTGGGCCGCAGGGGCAGGGCCAGGGCAGGAAGAAAGAACAGGAGTGGTGCGTGCGATTAGCCATGGGAGACGCCACGCACAGGAGGGTCGGTTCACTCCGCCCACCCGTCGTCATCACCATCCTCATGCGGCCCGATGGGCCCACACCTGGGACCCGTAGGTACTTGTACGACTACGAATGCTACTACTTAAGCGACTGCTGCATCGATTCGCAGATTCGCAGATGTACTTATGGCCGGCTGTACCCAACCGATGCTCGCAGGACGCGGCGAGGGAGCAAGAAGGCACATACCGCCCCTCGACCTGGAAAATACGCCCATCGCGTCTGCACTTGCACAGAGCCTCATCGTCGACCTGCAACGCGAACCAAAGAGGTCGCTGGGCCTCGGGCCCCTCCTTGGACCCCTCCCCCCCTTGGACCCGCCCTGCTGGAAGCTCCCACCCTCCCCCCTGTTTTTCTGGGAAGGGGGTGGGCTTGGAAGCTACCCACCCCCTCCCCCCTTTGGCCGCCCCGGAAGCTCCCCCCCCCTCCCCCCCTTTCCAAGGTGGGGATGGCTTAGCTACCCCCCCCCCCTTGGACCCGCCCTGGTGGAAGCTACCCCCCCTCCCCCCTTTTCCCGTCGGGCCCCCGGAGCCCCCGCCCTCCCTCTCGCCGACGATCCAAAATCAACAATCGACGATCGAGGATGGACGATCAACGATCGACGATCAATGATCGACGATCGAGAGATCGGATTCCAATCCAATCGATTGCACTGAATTCGATTACAATGCAATCGATTGCAATCCAATCGATTGCAACGCAATCGATTGCAATACATTCCACTGCAATCCCCCTCCCCCCCTCCCTCCGCCCCCTCCGCTCCCCTCCCTCCCCACCCTTCGTTCCCTCCCCTCCCTCCCCTTCCTCTCCTCCCCTCTCTACCTTCCGTCCTGTCCCTCCCCTGCAATCGATTACAATCCAACCGATTGCAATCCATTGTAATCAATTGCAATACAACCGATTGTAACCGATGTCCAATCGATTGTAATCGGATCGATTGCAATCCAACCGATTGCAATCCAATCGATTGCAATCCAATCAATTGCAGTCGAAGCGCTTGCAACACAATGGATTGCAATCGATTGCAACGCAGCTGTACTATTCTACTCGTCCTGTGGCAACGCCCAGGGGGCGGAAAAAATACCATTATGCTATACTCGTGCCACGAGCAAGATCGAGATATCGAAAATATGCAATTCCACTAGACTAGTCTCTTGGCAACGCCTGGAGAGGCACAAAAAACGAGTCTACTCTACTCCTCCCTTTGCGACGCCCTCCCCTCGCTCCCCTCGCTAACCCTTCACCCTCCCCCGCCTCCGTTTCCTCTCCTCCGTCCCCTCCACCTCCCTCCCCTCCCTCCGCTCCCTCCGCTCCCTCCATTCCCTCCCGTCCCTCCCCTCTCTCCACCCCCTGCCCTCCCTCGACTCCCTCATCTCCCTCATAACTCTTACCCGAATACCTAAACCCAATCCCTAAACTCTAACCCCTGACCCAAACCGCCCGCCCGTGTGCCCGCCCGCCCGCCCGCCCGCCTGCCCGCGCGCGCGCCCGCCCGCCCGCCCGCCGCGCCCGCCCGCCCACGCGTCCGCCCGCACGCCCGCCCGCCCGCCCGCGCGCCCGCCCGTCAATCCCTAGCCCTAAACCCTAACCCTAATCCACTAACCCTAACCCCCACCCTAACCCTCACATCCTACACTTAAACCCGAAGCCTAACTCTTAGCCTTAATCCCTAACCCAACCCCCTAGCCCAAACCCTAACCCCTAACCCTGACCCTTGCCCTAACCCCTAAACCTAAACCCTCAACCCGATACCCTAACCCGAAACCCTAACCACAAACCCGAGCCTAACCCTAGACGTAACCCTGTCCCAACCCTTTCCCAAACCCTAACCCGAAACCCTAACCAAAACCCCAACCCTAAACCTTACAACCCTACCCTAACCCGAACCCCCTTGGACCCCGCCCTGCTGGAAGCTACGCTCCCCCTCCCCCCCTTTTCCAAGGGGGGGAGGGGGCTTGGAAGCCCCCCCCCCCTCCCCCCTGTTCCCTCATCCAGCCCCTGGAGCCCCCGCCCTCCCTTTCGCCGACGATCCCAAATCCGCCGACCTCTTGTGGGTCTCTAAGTGGGTGAGATTGTTGCCCCCCCCCGTAGCCACCCCCCCAGGGACCCCAAACTGGAGATTAGGCCCCCCCACCTGGCCCCGAACGAACGCGCCATGGGAGCATAGAGGGCCCCAAAACGGGCCAAGAGGGCGCCAAGTGGGCCCAAAGACGATCCAGAAGGGCCACGAATCCTCGAATGATCGTTCCAAGACGCCCAAGATGGCATCCAGACGGCCCAAGATGCCTGCAAAACGCCCCAAGAGGCCTCCAAAAGGCCTCCCAAAAGGCACCGAAGAAGTGAACATTGCCCCATTCCCTTAGGATCACGTATGTTTTCAACATCGTCGCCTCTTGCGATTTCATACCGTGCAAGACGGCCCAAAAGACCCCAAGGACAGCTCCAAGACGGCCCACAAGGGTCCCAAGACGACCAAAGAAGCCCCGATGGCGGCCCCAGAGGGCTCCCAGACGGCGCCCAAAGGGGGCCCACGGGGGGGACCCGAACCCACATTTCCAGCCTTCGGCCCCAAGACGCCCCCAGGTTGCCTCAAGAAGCCCCCAACACGCCCCAAGAAGCCCCCAGGGAGCCCGAACAGAGCCCCCAAACGCCCCCAAGAACCTTTCAGCAATCGGACAAGCCTCGTTGAATGCAGTCTCTGACGCGCAGAAGTTTATAGAGGGGTCGAGGATGGACGGTCGACGATCAACGATCGACGATCGAGAGATTGGATTCCAATTCAATCGATTGCAGTCCAATCGATTACCATGCAATCGATTGCAATACAATCGATTGCAACGCAATGGATTGCAATGTTTTCCACCGCAATCCCCCTCTCTCCGCTCCCTCCGCTCCCTCCCCTCCCTCCCCACCCTTCGTTCCCTCCCCTCCCTGCCCTCCCTCTCCTCCCCTCCCTACCTTCCGTCCTGTCCCTCCCCTGCAATCCAATCGATTGTAATCGAGCCGATTGCAATCGAATCGCTTGCAACACAATGGATTGCAATCGATTGCAACGCAGCTGTACTAGTCTACTCGTTCCGTGGCAACGCCCGGGGGGCGAAAACATACTAGTATGCTATACTCGTGCAATGAGCAAGGTCGGGAAGCCGAACATATACCTTTCTACTAGACGAGTCCATTGGCAACGCCTGGGGAGGCACAAAAAACGATTCTACTCTACTCCCCCCTTTGCCCCCACTCCCCTCGCTAACCCTCCTCACCCTCCGCCTCCTCCGTTCCCCCTCCTCCTTACCGTCCACCTCCCTCCCCTCGCTCCCCTCCCTCCGCTCCCTCCCCCCCATCCGCCCCCTCCACTCCCTCCCGTCCCCCCCCCCCTCTCCACCCCCTCCATTCCCTCGCCTTCCTCATCTCCCCAACTCCATGCCCTCCCTCCGCACCCCTACCCCGGAAAATAGTCAACACGTTTTACCCTAACACTCACCCTGACACCTAACCCTACACCCTAAACCCGAAACGTTGACTTGAACCGCCCGCCCGCCCGCGCGCCCGCACGCCCGCCCGCGCGCCCGCCCGCCCGCCCCGCACGCCCGCCCGCGCGCGCCGCCCGCCCCGCCCGCCGCGCGCCCGCCCGCCCACGCCCGCCCCGCCCGCCCGCCCGCCCGAATATGTATTTCCTCCGCCCGCCCGCCCGCCAGCCCACGTGCCCGCCCGCCCGAATTAAACGCCCCCACGTCCCCACCCAGCCGGCCGATAGCAACCCCGCCGTCCTAACCATCAGAAAACGATACTGACTCAATTGTTCTCTCGCCAAGATGTCGTCGAGCTGCGAAAAATGAAGCAGGAACGGGACGGAGTGAACATCGATCGGGCAACCCTAAGCGAGTGGTCGTGCCCTTCCCATCAAAAAACAAAAATAGAGTCAACAGCTTTCTCGTCAACATGGACTTTCTTGTCGTTGACGTTGCGAATACTGAAGCAAGAATGGGGCGCGGCGGACATCGCGCGCGGACGCCTGGCCAACCTTACGCGGGACCCCCCGTCTTACCTGCAAAAAACACAGCAAAGTCAACGTGTTTCCTGCCAACATGTATTTTCTCCTGGCCGGCGCTGCGAATCGCGCAACGGGAATAGGACGCTCCTCGAGCTCCCACGAGGCATCCTCATCTTCTGCCTCCGTTTCTCCCTCCCTGTTTCTCTCCCACCCCTCCTCCTCCTCCTCCTCCTCCTCCTCCTCCTCCTCCTCCTCCTCCTCCTCCTCCTCCTCCTCCTCCTCCTCCTCCTCCTCCTCCTCCTCCATGCGCGACAGGAGCGAAATGATTGGCGGTACAACACGCGTGGCTGGAATGAGACGCGGCGCACTTCGCGCGCTGGACATTTTGTCGCCGACGATGCAACATGAGAAGCCGAGCGGGGCGAAGCGTACATCGCGCGCGGTTTTGTTTCTCGTCGACGTTGTTCGATACGTGGCAGGAATAGGACGCAACTCGTGTCGCGCGCTGAACGTTTAGCCGCCCACGATATACGATGAGCGGCAGGCGTCGGACGCGACGCACTTGCTTCTTCTGTTGTGGGAAGGTGGGTGGGAGTGGACAGAGCCCTCTGGCTCGTTCGAGCTGGCTAACTTGACCCTAACCCTAACCCCCTAACCCTAACACCTAACCTCTTCCCCGTAAACTTACTCCCAAATCGTAACCCTACGCCCTAACCGCTACCCCTAGCCCAAACCGTAGCCCTTTACCCTGAACCTTGCCCGAACCCCTAAACCTACACCCTCACCCCGAACCCCAATCCCCAAACCCCCTTTTTTACCCGCCCTAAACGTTACCCTAACACCGAATCCTACACCCTACGCCCTAACCCCTGACCTTGACCGCCCGACCGCCCGCACGCCCACGCG